ACTCGAAAGAAGAGATGTTGCCTTAGGTACCAATGAGGGACAAGTCCTCACAAAGACTACAGCAAAAGTCAAAGCGATAGTGAATGGCTTACAACCTTTAACTACTGAAACTATCATTGAGTTCTCTAGAATAGAGGAATCCCTGGTAACTTTAGAGTACGAGAGACTCGAGAAACATTACAGAAAATGCAAAAGACTCTCACATGAGGAGAAGGACTGCTCTGAAACAAGAGTAGCCCCAAAAATCAAGAGAAGAGAAAACTCACCTCTGCTTAGACATAGAGCATCTCCTCCCAGACCTCAAGACAACAGAAAATACTACAAATCTCCTGAACCACAAGTTGACTTTCACTTCCGACAAGATAAACACGGAAGAGCTTATGGAGATAGGATTTTCTCTAGGAACCTAAGCAAGGAAAGAACTCATGAGGTCAATCAAAAAGACCAACAAAGGAATGATCAACACTATCAACACTTGGGAGGAGGGAAAGAAATTGTATCACCTTCCTACAATAGAAACAAGGCCAGCATGGAATCCAACTCAAGAGGTCACATACCTAACTTGAGACATCAACTCAACCTCAGGGCTAGGCAAGGCTCCTATCAATCCCCGCAGCTTCAATGGAGAGAAAAGGAACCATCTACTGAAAGCCTCAGACAGATCATCTCTGACTCCACATACAGTAGAAAGACCCCCTTGGAAAGGAATCTTGAGAAAGAAAGTTTTCCCCCCTTATCCCACTTCCAACTACTGAAGAAATCATGAGTGAGATACAAGATGTCACAATTCAGTATATGAACTGCCCTAATCCCACTTAGAGTGCCGTAAGAATTCAAAGAGTTATTGAGGGTAAGGAAAATGGTCTAATGACTGAAATAGTTGCAAACATCCGAGCTGTAGCAGAATCCTCTTACCATGCAACAACCACCAATGTTGGGATCTTAGGGAAGGCTGTAATGCCTACAGTTCTACCCCAGCTGATTATCTCGAGTACAGAGCTCCCTGAGGCATCAAAAAAGTGTAGAGGCAGACCTCCAAAGAAAGACAACAGTCCATGTATGCTCCCTAGAGCAAATTCAAAGAAAATGAGATTGTGTCATGTGCAAAGTTCACCCAGAAGAAGAAACTTGGATAATAACCAACAAACTGTCCCTCAATTAGAGGAGAACCCTACCGGTATGAGAAGGGAACCAACAGACCAGAGGAACATTTCTTTTGGAAGTCACCTGCCAACACAACAAGTTATTATCCCAGCCATCAATAGGAAGGAC